GACAAGAACAAATGAAAAATCTACTAGAATATGCCAAGTGAGAATTAATGAAAATTTTATTGTATGTGGAAAAGATAAGAGTAAATAAACGTGAGGAAGAGTGTAGGCACAGTTGTATGTATGAAATGAAAGTCTGAATGCAGAGTTAAGACAAGTTCAAAGATAACCTCGTTGTCAAATAGGAGAGTAGAGTAATGCATGGAATAATCTCTTTAGACTCATTGATAGTTCCTAACTTCCAGGATTATTGACCTGACATATATGTATTTAGGAGAACAGAGCATAGAGATCTAAAGCTCTGAGTAATCATTAACTGTTATTATTAAGTCTATAATTAAATGATCTAGTATTGACTTTAATATGTCAAATGACATCTGACTTTATTGTTTTGTTTATAAGAATAAAGGAAAGTTATCAAACAAAATTCAAACACTACAGAAATACTTAGTACAAAGTCCCTGACTTATGAACATTCGAGTTGTTCGCAGATACGAATGGACCTAGCATTTGGAACATTCATACATGCAAACAAATTGCAGAAGCAGCTCGTGTGTGTACTGGGCACAGTTACAGTTGTGCTACGGTGTGCTTACTGCATAGTGTTGATAATGTACTCTGGTATAGTTCTCTCTTTTTTGAAATTGAATTCAGGGCTTTGTGCTTGCCAGGCAGGCTCTGCACTGCTGAGCTACATCCCTGGCTGTAGCACAGTTCTCAATCAGAGCCCAGGATATCCAGAAACAAGGGGAAGAGCAGTGGTGATGTGGAGGGGAATGATAGGAAGCACAAAGCAATGTATATTGCATATTTGTCTCAAAGGAGTGGGAGGGGTAGGGGAAAGGAAAGAGGGTAATGGAATAAATATGAGAAAAGGAAAAAATAGAAAGAAAGTCTTTGTAAATAGGGAGGGATGGAGGGGTTGAAGGGAGGGCAGGGGAATGGGGGAAAAATAAGAACCAAGAGATTATGTAAAGGGGCAAGTCTCTAATGATGAATGTCATTGTATTGTATATCTAAAGTGCACCAATGAAATTAATAATAATAAAAAAACTCACTTTGCTGGACCAATGAATGAATCTGATTTATGAACATTCTCCCTGAATGGAACTTGCTCATAAGTTGGGTCTTACTGTGCATATACTTGCAAACAGCAAGGACAAAAATATCAATTTGATACTCACATATAAAACATTTTTGTTTTTCTATATGCTAATGTATTATTATTGCTTGCATTTGTTAAAAAATGGAGGTCATTCAACACAAATTTGTGTTATTGACATAAGAGCATGTTTGCAGTTATTTCCAGAATAGAGCTACGGTGGTTTCATGTACTTTTTACTAAGGCTACTTACTTTATTATATTATGGCACCATATAAAGTCAAAGAGGGCATAAGGGAAATTAGGCAAAGTTTCAGGCCTACAAAGGTAGATGGTACTTTTGTGTAAATTAGAAAGTATTCTGCCAAGGATGGTTACAGCCCCTCTGGTGTCTGTCCACATTCGCGAACCCTGAGCTGAATCTCAATTGGTGCCTTTACTCCCTGCTGGACACTAACAGCAGACAATCCTATATAAAACTTGTGGTGATGCCAAATGATATTTAGAATCTTCTATGGAGTTCAGATAACAGCAAGGCCTTCATGCTACAGACTGATTTCCTTTCAGCATATCATGGATTAAGTCATGGATAGACAGAGACCTGGATCAGAGAAATAGATGAGGACTCCATGGTAGAGCTCAAGTAAAGCAAATATATTAGGAGTTGGAGTATGGTGGTGCTTGCTTATAATCCCAGCAGTCTGGGAGACTGAGGCAGGAGGATCACAAGTTTGAGACTATCCTGGACAATTTAACTACATAGAGTGACTCTGTCCCAAAATAAAATTTAAAAAGGGCTAAGGATGCAACTCAGAGTAAAGTGCCACTCAGAGTAAAGACTCGGTATTCAATCTCCAGTATGGGGAGGGAGGAGGGGGGGAAAGAGGGAGAGAGAGAGAGAGAGAGAGAGAGAGAGGGAATGAATAAAGTGTAACTCCAAACCCATCAACCCACATGTGGGGCTGAGAGGCAGGGAAACAGCAAGAGATACAATGCACTGTATTAATGAGAGACTCTGTCAACTTTCCAGACTGCATTAGGCACAGATATGTCTGAATTTAAGGTATCATTCATAATCTAAGCATCTGTTCTTTGATTTCTCTTTTCTCAATTTGGGAAATGAATTATTTCAAAATAATGCTTGAAAAAATTCTTTGCTTTCTATACTGTTATCATAACTTAAAGAAACTGGGTAATTAATTCAATTCTGATAACCTATGTACTCACTCTCCAGGCTTGCTCTAAAATCTCAGGATACAAATAGATTTGAATTATAAGGGCCACTTGTAAGTGTACTTCAATTTTAATTTAAAATCTGAAGCAAGCATCAATAAAATTTTTCCCATAGGGCCGGGGATTTAGCTCAGTGATTTTGCCGCCTGCTGCACAAATGCAAGGACCCGAGTTTGATCCCCGGTACAAAAAAAAAAAAAAAAATTTTTTCCCAGATCCTCGCTCATTTAGCTATAAATAAAATGTTAATCCTGCTGCCTGATTACTATTTTTATCTATGTTATATATTTTGTTGGGCTCAAGAATTTGCTCTTAATATTTCATAAAATCTGGTCGTTTTATAAACTATTTCCTTCAGTTGTTTCTTATAATATTCATATTTCATCAAATTCTCCTTTCTACAGATGCCAATGGTATGGATTTTCCTCAACACATTTGTTTACGTTTCTAAATTGATCTTATCATAATCAAGACATTATGCTTGAACTACAAAGATTTCTTAAACTAATTACTGTTACCACAGAGAATCAATAACTTCAACTCAAGTGTCTTCTGATTTTCTTCACTATTTCATTTTGAAATGTTACTTTCACTATAAAGTAAAAGTTGACTTTTCCTCACCTTCTTAAAAATTACAAATGATTTATAAACAATTTATTATTAGAAAACTAAGGTAATAGTTTTTGCTGGCTCTGTGACTTCCAACATACACTCTGGCTAAGCCACATAGATATTGGAATTAACAACAAAGAGAAAATGTATTGAAGTTAATTATGAGCACAGCAGGTACTTTTTCTCATATTTATACAAATGACTTTAAGTGGAAACCTATTAATGATATAATGGATATCATATATAATGGATATATAAGAATAAAATTTATTTCATTTATGTGCAAGCAATTTAACACTCTATACTGCTAATAGGAGACTGCAATGCATTTGAGGGCTAAAACTGTGTTTAAGAAACAGTGACCTCACTATTCCTTCACTAAGAACTCCTTCACTGTTGTTCTCACATTTTACATATACTTAAATTAATTATTCAGTTGCCATTTCCGGAAAAAATTTTCAGAGGCTCACTTTGAACATATGAGATATTTTTACTTCACTGTAAATATTTGAGCATATGGTCTCACCACACCTTTGTTTATGACACAGAAATTTTACCATTATGATATTAAGAAATACTTATATACTTGTAGTCACCAAAACTATCTATCTTTTAACTTTATCAATAGAATATTTTGAAGGATGCACCCAAATGTATATTTTAACATACCTGAAAGTCAGAATTAACAGTGATAAAGTACAAAATGAATATGCATTTAGCATTTTCTTTCTTTTTATTCCAGGAGAGAATATCCCTTACTTTGTAGAAAATTTATTCTATCTCATGAAGGACTGAGTTCTTATTATTAGTCATTATCTCAGAATTCCCTTTCTTCTATGACACAGAAGTATCAATCTTTTTCTCATTTTGTTTTTTTTCAAACAATTCAGTTTGCTATGCTAAATCTGGACCCCAAAAAACTTTCTCCCTTTTTAAAAAACTGTTATGTCACTGCTGTATTTATACATTTTATACACTGCTGGGCTCTTAATCATATGGAAATTATTCTCCCTGTGATTGAAAGTTCATTACCTCTAAAGTTTAAACTATTAACCCCAGAATGAACAAAGCACATATAAACTTATTTAATTGACATAGGTTATTTTAAACATCAACAACAAAAATGGAGTTTGTACTGGGCACAATTTTTGTGTGGTTTGAAAATATATGTGTGAGCAATGTCTATGTAAATATGATTTTATTAGAAATTCCTTTATAATATGTTATTAATATTAGCATTCCACATCTTACATTATTTAAAAGCAAGGAGATTTTAGAATTTAGTATGTCCAACACTAGCAATGCTAATATTACATTACTGGAATAAGTTTCTGGGGGAAAAAATAAGTGGTCTTGTAAATACAAATGGGGCTGCTTTATTTGCTGACACAGATTTCATTTGTTTGAGATATATATATATATATATATCGATATCTATCTGTCAATCTATATACCTGTATATATATATATATATATATATATCATGTTCATTTAGGCAATAAAAACAAAATAAGTGAAATCTTATAAAGGGAAAACCAATTTTTTAAATCTTAATTTTTTTAAATCTAAAAAGATGACTTAAATTCTTAGCTTTGAGTGACAGCAAGGGATGAGGATTGAATGATACCATTAAATATGGGGATGATGTTTATAGAAGATGAGAATAAGCAGGACCTGCAGTGAAGTACGTACATATATGTCTCCAAGGAGTTAGCTTCATTTATAACACTCCCTAAGTTTAACAGATATTTGATATTTATTCCAATGCTATAGCTGTGTTTTACTTCTTGACAGGATTGGCATTCTAACAAGGGCCTTTGTAAGTCTCCATTTCACAAGTTCTTGATAGTTTTCCTTTGGTCTCCTAGTGACAGATCTGAATACCAGAAATCAGAAAACAAGACTCTGGCAACTAGTTTCAACCAACCTTATTCAGAGGCATATATAGAATGAGATTTATATTTTGTGACAGTTTTTTTTTAAAGTGAAGTGAAATGCAAGGGATATAATGTTATCATTATTGTGCCTCAAAAGAGGAGAAAGTGCGGTATGTTACCTCCTGATTAGCAGCAGCTAGTTCTTCTTCCAGTGCAGAGACTCTTTCTAAAGAAACCCTCAGTCGCTCCCTTACCTAGAAGAAAAATCAAAATATGTGCAGTAATGTACATCCCATACATATTAAAGTGTGGTAAATTTACCATTAACATCACAGAGACAGTCAATTTAGCAAAATATTAAAGTATTTATAGCCCTATGTGCCCAGAATAATAAACCTGGCAGGAGTACTATGAATACTGTGTCACCTCTGAGTGTCACTGTATCAAGGGATTTTTCTTGTAAGCAAATCCTTTTGCTGGTTCACTGAGAAATTCCATTGGGGTTGAAGATTGACCAATCTTGTGCTGAATTCTGATTCATAATAAGTGGAAACAAAGTTCAAAGGTGCATTATAAATGTATCTGAAAAATAGTCACTGATTAAGCATGAAATATAGGCAGAAAAATCTATTTCTTTCTAATAAATAAATTTGACACTATTTGACACTTATTAGCTAGCTTCAAAAATGATTTGCTTAAAACTAAAAGACTTTCAGATTCTAAAAATTGTCCAATGTTCCTATTTTTTATATTAATTGGCAGTTTAAATTGCTTTTTGAGGGATTTCAAAGTACTTAATCATTTTGAAATTTCTAAGTAGCTTCCAGATACCAAAAACTAAATAATTATATTTTGTAGAACCAAAAGCTACATATTTGAGCTTAATAGTAATAATGATTTACAAATATTTCCTACATAACTGAAATTCAAAGAAGTATTTCTTTGAATTTTATTGGAATTTCTAAAAATTGTTTTAGTTGTTATGTGTTTAGATTTATAGATATGCTTTATTTATTCAAAAGTAAAAAAATTCAGAGAAAAGAATTGTTGAATAAAATGACTATAGCAGATAAATTTTACAGACTGAATATGCAATTTATCATGAACTTTTAATTATTTATTTAATTGACATAAGTTTTGTTTACCATGTTTCAATATTTGTGCCATAAAAATGTATCTTAATATTATAGTTATATTCCTATGAAGCTTAATTTTATTAATTTAATGACAATATATTCCAATATATGGTATTTTTCTTTCTGTTCTAGTAAGATTCAACTAGGAATATAGGTTAAATATATGAGATACATTAAAACCTACATGCATAAATGTTTTGAAATTGGAATTAATTTTATAACTATGTAAATAATGCCATTATTTGTCTTTTATTTATTTATTTTGGGGGGGGGTACCGGGGATCGAACTCAGGTCCTCGTGCTTGCACAGCAGGCAGCGAAACCACTGAACTAATAAATCCCCAGCCCTATTTTTTATCTTTTAGCAAATAAACAAAGTTAATAATGTACTATTTGCCTAAAATCTAATTAAGAATTTTTCTAAAGAATTGCAATCATGTGTATTCAGTTGACTAAGTGCACTTGACTCCTGAAACTTATTTTAAATAACAAGACAAATACCTTTGTGAAGTTTTAATATTAATTATATTTTGTTATATTCCAAGACTTTGAAAAGTATTAACACACACATATATTAAATATTAAAAACAACTGCACAGAATCATATTTAGCTGTACCACATTGACTGCTAAGTGCCAGTACTTTAGATAAATTTGTTATTTTTCAAAAAAATCCCAAACTGGTATTGATCAAAAGCCAAACACCAGCTATTTAGAAAGAAATTTTGATTGTTTGTCTTGGAGAATATGTTTTTATGAACAGTTTAGATAGAAAAGAGGCAGCTGTCCTGAAACTATGAAAATGAGTGGGGTAGCTCAGACATGAGATATAGACATCAAGAAGGCTGCAATAGACATGCTTCCTATCTAACACAGGGGATTATGAGGCTTTATACCCACTCCCTAAAATACCAACTGTAAAATACTAATGCTCTATAAAATATAGAAATCATGGTTGATAAGACCAGAAATATGAAACCATCTAAATATAATGTAATGACCTCATTATAAGCAAAACTGACCAGATCATACTTAGAATGCTGTGGAGAGGTTAAGGTACCATATTTGAAAAGATATCTAAGAGTCCTTAAAGTCATATAAGGAGTGGTTGAATCCAACTTGTATTGTAGGTTATAGTGTCTTTCTGACTGTCTTGCTAAGCTGGAAATCTAGTTTTGTTTAGCAAAGGTTATGCATTTTGATAGTCCTATGATATAAGCTTTCAAGCAAAAAATTTATTAATCTTCTCCAACCATATGAAAATGGAATAATCACCATTAAATAAATTTAGAATTGTTTTTATAAATTAGATTGTATTACCCACAGAATAATGCAAATCTAAAACTGTCTTCATGAATACATATTGCTGAATATATTTCAAATTATAAAGTTGATATTGTAACTATCAATGCTTTACTTCTTTTATATGAGTATGAATTATTTTCTCTACTTTCAATTTTTAGAAGAGACACAGATAAATGGAACATGTTGGCTCCAACTTTCACTTATTTCTGCTAAACTTAGCAAAAACAAAAAGCAGAATTCAGAGTAGAATTGAGGGCTGATGATCCAAAGGAATAAACTTTCCATGGTGCAATTGATGCTAACGATTTACTTGGTCTACTTGATTTGAACTAGACTGATAGGCAAATACTGTACAATATCTCTAAATATTTAGTTTTATCTCTTTTCTCAACAATGCACCAACAGAAAGCCATACCTATTTTTCTTGAAGAATTTTGTGTTCTTGTAAATCTAGGTAGGTATGCTTGATATGCCATGAAAAAAAATACCATTTAAATTTTTCATTAATACAAGAGGACACTTGATACAGCCTTTGTGTATTTTAATTTTTAAAAAAAATTAAGTCATTTAAATTAATCTATTGTCTATGTAGTCTTTTCCCTATGATAATTTGATTGCTTATTTATAGAGCTATAGTGTAACTTTCAACTATATATTATTTATATCCATTTAGATTTTTTTTCAGTACTCAGAAAAATACACAGGATATTCACATTGAACTACTTACATTCCTAGCCATTTTTTCATTAAAAAAAATTTACACAGGGTCTCAATTGTCCAGGCAAGACTCACATTCATGGTCCTCCTGCCTCAGCCTCCTATGGTACTGGAATTACTAAAATGCACCACACTGCCCAGCTTACATGTAGAGTTTTTTATACCTTATTTAATCTGTTACATCCATTTTCTTCACAACAGTATAAAAATACTTAAAGAAGTTTTTTTTCTAAAATATATTTCATGGCCACAAAAATTTTATCCCTGAAATTAAAAGAATCTACATCCCTGAACATGACAAATGTGTTGCAGGATGAAGAAAGATTTTTTTTTTTTACCAATTTCAACAGTTTACTTCAAATAAAATTATTTTGTCACGTTGTCTTTATATTATTATATTTAAGTTAATTTCTCTTCTCATATTCTCATGCTGATTATTTCATTTGTTCTCTTTTAGTGCTTTTATTTTTTACTTTGGGCTTTTTAATAAATCTTTAATGATAGATTTAAGTAATCACTAGTTTTGTGTCTTCCAAATGCTAAAAATATTTGTTTCTTTTTTTATTTATATATTAATTGGTACATTTTAGGTATACAATACATTTACATTTATCATTGGGTGTTTGTACCTGAACATGATGTATCTTACTTCTTATTTTTTCACCCATTACCTATGCGCCCTTCACCCCCACCACCCTTCCCTATTTGCATAGACTTTGTTTCTGTTTATTTTTTCTTTCGCATAATTTTTCCTTTAACTTCTTCTCTTTACCCTTCCGCTCCCGCCACGCCTACACCTTTGCACCTTTTCCTATTTCAAATTATCAGTTATTCGTTTTAATTATTTTCATCCTTATTTACACTTTCAGTTTCTCACACTAGAGATACTATTCGGTATTACACATGTGTGTCCTATTTATCTCACTTTAGAGTATGGCCTCCATATGCATTCATTTAGCTATAAATGACTCTAGTTTCTTGTTCTTTATGGCTGAGTAGTACTCCATTTTATTTTTAAAAAACCCACATCTTCTTTATCCAGTTTCCAGTT